CATTTAAAATACATAAATATAGAAAAACATCTATATAAAACACTTAAAAAATACATAAATATGTAATACATAAAAAATATGTAAAATACTTAAAAATAGATATAAATACATAAAAAAATACGTTTATACATTTAAAATACATAAACATCTATATAAAAAGCTTTAAATAGTACATAAATACGTAAAAATACATAGAATTACATATAATCCATAATACATAAAAAACACATAAAAATACATAAAAAATACGTAGAATGGTTAAAAATACATATAAATAAGTAAAAAAATACGTTTATATACTTAAAATACATAAAAATACGTAAATATATACATATAAAAACATAAAAAAAACACAAATACGTAAAAATAGATATAGATATGTAAAAAATATGTTTATACATTATATAAAATTTTTGACGAAATCTGCAAAAAAGTCCCATTATTTTCGAAAAATTAACAATTTGGTCCCGTGACCTACTGAACATGTTAAAAATGGCTAAAGTGAATAAATTAACCGGTTTCTTGGGTTTTTTTATTCAAAATGTGAAAATGTTAGGATTTTTTTATTCAAAAAATAAATTTAGGACTTTATTAAAAATTTGCCAAAATACTGAGGTTTTTCTTGTGACATCCCAAAGTTTATATCTTAAAATAAAAATTTCTAAAGCTATTTCGAATAGCTTTAAAAGCTAAGAGTCTTTAATTTTTAATTTTATATAACTTTACAAAATAAGCCGTAGATAATCCATAGTTCCATACTTATCCGACTACCCATTACGAGTTTTATTTCGCTCGTTTACCCACCAGCCGGATCGTACCCTCGCATCCTCCGCTGTTTTCCGCCAGCCGGCAAAGGCGACACAGCCACCGTTGCATCGCCCTACTACGCATCTTCGTCGCCGATTCGATGCAAAAAGTCAAAACCCTCGATTCCATCTTAACTTCTTAATACACGATGTCGGCACCCGATCAAGCAGCCGTCGCAGTCCTATCTCAAGTAGCCCTAGCCGCCGATGGCGCAGTACTTGGTTTAGCCTTAGCGTACATTGCAGTCCGCAGCCTCCTCAAGTTCAAGACGACCTCATCTGCCTTGAACAAAGTCAAGAAGGCACCCTCTGTCAGCGTCTCCGATCTCCGTTCTGTCCTCTCTCAGCCTTCCGATCAAGAGTCAGATACGACTACTTTCAGTGATGAGAAGATCGTCATCGTTCGAGGAGTTGTTGAGACGAAATCCGTCGTCAACGGCAATTGGAAGAAACAAAACGTTTTGGTCTCTCATGAGTCTAACGAGAAAGCGGTTATCTTGCAGAGGACGCAAACGGTATTTATAATCCATATCTCAATCAAAATTTGTTTCACATGTATCTATCAAAATCTGTTCATATGCTGATATATTAGAGGTTTTCTGATATGCATCATCTGAACTAAGTATGCCATTTAGCATTACTCAACCAAAAATTTAGATCAATTTGCCTTTCTTAATTTACTATCTTTTAGGGCTTTATGTAATGTTTGTGTAAATAGCATAACTAATTCGACCAGCTGCTTGACTGATGGAACTGATTTCTGTTCATTTTTTATAAATCCTGTTTTCTTCTATGTCCAGTTCAAAGTGTAAATAATCTTGAATTCCTGCAGTGTATATACAACGAATGGAGGGGATTTTTTGGATGGACTTCAGATTTTCGCTCCTTGTTTGCAAGACACTGGAAAGAGCAAGAGTCTTCATCAATAAGAACGGTAACTTCAAAATTCTTCACCTTTTGATTTTAATCCATTAGTTTATGATAATGCTGGTTCAGTTCCTGTTGTTAATGATAACGCCACTTTAGTTTCTTATGTATACATAATTGGTGACTTCTATATCCTTAATCTATTCATCAGTATGTTTGTGGTCTAACATAAGATTATATGACTATTTAGTGAATGAATTCTATGTTAAATCTTATTTTATCTTGTAATTTTCTCAATGTATTGCTACAATCTGATAATCTTCCTGTATAGGTTCCTTTTATCCTTGTTGATGGAGGAAAGTGGCCACAATCTGATTATTTAACAGTAAACTTGGATGGGTCAAACCATCCTTTACCTCTTACAACTGTATACCACAATCTGCAGCCTATAAATGCTTCTCCTTATACTTTCCTTCAGGCATTTTTCGGTCATGAGTACCCTGTAAGTCTAGACATTAATTATTACATCTGTTCTTTCATTTCTTAATATGATCTTATTTTTTATATTTCTTTCTTGCTGGTGTTGAAGGTTGGACTTCTTGATGAGGAGAAAATTTTACCCGTTGGAAAGGAAATCACTGCAGTTGGTCTTGCCAGTTTGAAAAATGGAGTTCCCGAAGTGATGGCATGCAAGGATCTACCTTTTTTCCTGTAAGAATATTTGTCATAAAGCTTTTTCCATTATACTGTAAACCTGATTATGTATTAATATGGATATTTCAATTTGCAAGATCAAATTTGAGTAAAGATCAGATGGTGGATGAACTTGACTTTAGGACAAAAGTTTTGTTGTGGAGTGGAGTTGTGATTGGTTCAGTGGCAACTGGCATCCTTGGATATGCTGTGATAAGGTACTATAAAATATCACCATATGATGTTACAAAATATTAAACAAAGGTTTTTT